AAAAAAAAAAAGGTGTGATGAATGTAAGGTGCCGAGGCAGATGAGTAAAAATACATGGTTACATCAATAAAATGAGAACCTAATCGGGTAGAGTTTTGCAAACTATTTCCTCTATTCAATTGGTTCAGTTACTGGTGATTATTTAGGAAACCATGAATATGATGGACAACAGCATAGTGGACGGGATTGTGTTTCTTGATCCGTTTCAATTAACTGAATCAATTTCATGTTTTAATTGTTGAGTCCTTTGTAAGGTGACAATTTCTGAATTTCGTCAACCAAGTATTCGTGTCGATCTGCTTACATTTCATGTATATAAATATGAAATGTTGGGATTTCTATGCAGTCTCATAAGTATGACTTAGTTAACTAGCTCATAGACGTGCATCTCCATAACAGTAAAGAAGGAAAAGGACAAAACTATGTGGCTTGCCAGATTAGCTCGCCTTTTTGTAAGCCAATTGCGCATTAACTAATTTTTCAAGAAATGTTCATTTACATTTTGTGCTAACAGGACATGAATCTTAATTGGAAATTGAGAAAAAAGTTCACTTATGTGATCGTTTTTGTTATTTATGGCCAGTAGGTCAGTAAAATAATTTGATATCAATGACCAACGTATTGACGTGGTCCTGTAATTATTCAATCAACTTATTCATCTCAACTTTTTCGTAAAGAATACTTTCATCAGCCCCAACAGTGTTTGATGAAGAGCAGCTAACTATTCATATGCCTTAAAAGATTAGGATGCAGATAAGTGATGACATTGTTGTGCCCGTGGCATTTTAGACATGGTTCTCGAACTGCATATTTTAACCTTCTCGGTTTATGATAAATGTATCTCTATTTTAGTGATTGGGATATAACTTTGAACTAGTCTTTGTGTACTGCATCAGCGATTGGCATCACTGAGTAATTATTTCATGTCATGAGTTCTTTTTAAGTATTCTATTTATTTTCTATTCCTTGGGTATCTCATTGCAGAATTTAGGCAAAAGAATGCTGAAAAGAAGGCTGCGTCGTCAAAGGCAAAAGATTCAAACAAGAATGCTAAGAGAAAAGAGTCCCCTGCAAAAAGTGAAGCCAAGAAAAAACGCCGTGAAGATGACAACAATGGAGACGAGAATAAAGCAGGTTGACGAGCCAAGCAGCGTATGTTCTAGTTAATTCTGCCTGTTTTATGTCAGCTTAAAGGGGAAAAAAACTGTTATTTTTTCTGCGATGTCCAATTAACTCTTGTTTTGGGGCTTTGACAGTGTATGTTCTTGCTTCTCTAAATTAGGAGGTTTATATATATGTGTATGTGTGTAGCGTCTCACATATTTTGTTTTTCGTGATGCGTTAAGCTATTGGTATTTAACACCACGGACCATGTTAGAAATCTGTGATCATGAAAAATTGTACCACCAAAAGGCCTACGTTATAATCTAATCATTCAAGAAAGTACAGTGTACCTAAACGAGATTGACTTGGCTCGAGCTCATCTCTTTTTTTGGCTCATTTATTTAACGAGCCAAGCCTAAATTAAACGAGCTTGGATTGGCTCGAGTTTGACTCGTTAAGACTCAATAATTTTATATACTTCGGCTCGTTGAAGCTCGAACTCGAATCGTTAGTAAATAAGTCGAGCTTGAGCTCGATTTTTGGCTCGTTTAATTAGTGAGCCGAGCCGGCTCGAGCTCGAGCACCGTAAGCTCGTGCTCAGCTCGACTTGTATTAAGGAATACATTGCATTAAGTAAGTATGGTAAGTATAAGTTGTTCTATTTATATTTTTTTTAGCTAGTACGTACCTCGTGCGATGCACGGGACATAGATATTAAATGAGTTATTTTCACAGTCTTGTCCGTTTAAGTCTAAAAAGTTATAATGTTATTATCTATTTTCTACCTCTTTTAATCAACGTTAAGTCTAAAAAATTATTAAGCCGTCCTCTGACAAATATGTATGAAGTTATGTGTTCGTGTCTCATAAGTAACAACATTATGAATAACATTACAAATTATTCATTCAAACTTTTATTCATTACAAATATATTAAAATAGTTTATATAACAGCCACTAAATACCACTTTTAATATATTTATAAATAAAAAGTACATAAAATTTCGGGTGTGTTCAAATTTAAAATTTTTTTATGGGCTCAATTTTTAATTATCCAGACATTTGGTCAAACGCATAGGTATGTTCAAATTTAAATTATTGGTATTTTGGTCGGTTGAAATTTAAATCATCTACCATGGTATTGTGATGTGTATTATATATATACATTTTTTAACAAATAATATGTGCTTTATAAAAATAATACTAATAATTTCACAAGATTTTAAACGTAAAATTTGGTTTTTAATCACAATAGTAAAATCATGGTAAGTTGTATTGAAAAGGTGTTATGAGATAAAACAATTGACTAAAATAATTAAACAAAATACTTGATAGAAATAGAATGCATTAATTACCTTTGATTTTTTTACTACTAATTCTAGTAATAGAATCCCTTTTTATATAAGTATAAATTTACATTGTTATTTTATATATATAGATATAGATAATGTAAAATAATATTAATATGAAAATATTATTTAAGTTAATATGTCAGGAAAAGAGTAAAATAACCATTTGTAGTTATAAAAATACAAATGACTAAAATGATTTTTTTTTAATAAATTTGTAGAATGTTTGATTCTAATTAATCATTGTATTAAAAATTCTAAAACATAAAATAAATAAATAATATATATATATATATATATATATATTAATTTGTGGAAGAATAAATACATTTGAGGTGTAAGAGGTCAAACGGGGAGCAGTGGAGATGCACGGCCATGTCCATGCCGGAATTATATTATTCCATAGATTCTGCCTACATATTAGCAAATTGAGATTATATCAGTTTATTCCTAAAATTCTGGATGTACCATTTTATTCCATAGATTAATTTCTAACCAAAATTGAAAAGTGAATAAAAATCAGATTGTATCATTTCTTTTCTAAAATCCTGGATGCACATTAATTTCTTATCCAAAATTGTTCCTAAAATTTTAAATTTATCATGTAATTAATGAGTTTGGTGGGAAAGAGTTTCTAAAATGAATTATATTAATTCTTATTATATATTAATAGATGTTAGTATCAGTTGTTTAATTTATTTATTTGTTTTTGAAATCAGAGTTTATTTGTGATTTCTTTATTCCAGGGGTTAAGTTTAAAAACTAAAATTGAACGAGGCCATAAACTACAAGAGCATCTATTCCAAAGAGATGACACTGTACATATGATCCTGATTTGGGAAATGACATTGTTTTTTCTTTTGAAGGGTCCATGCCAATTGTGGATGACAAGGTTGAATTAAATAACTAATGTGAATAAAAAGTGAATAAAATAACTAGTGTTAATAAGTTGAATAAAATAATTAATGTGAGTATGCATTATTGTTATTATTATTAGATTAATTTATTTACTCACATTAGTTATTTTATTCAACTTATTAACATCAATCAACTAATTTTAGTAAACGTTTTACCACAATTCACCAATGTAATTTTTCAGTCAAAATAAATTATATAATTTTCTAGTTAAACAACCGATATGATCCGCTATAATATGATAAGAAAATAATAAAATAGTAATTGATGATAAATAGTAAATTTTATAAATAAACACATAGTAATAACTTTTTTAATTTAAAAAAGATAAAAAATGCGAAATAGTGTAGAATTTTTATTATAAATGACTAGTATATTTTTGGTCGATGGATAAGACCGTGGGATATATTGCATCTTAATTTCAATCACGAAATTGTAATCCACTAACCCAATTACAAATATGAAAAGATGTTTAAGTAGTCAAGTCAGATACAAACATGTTAAATAGTTAAGTGTATATAAAATATTAAATACCATTATAACTTGTTAATATTTTATAAAAATCAACTTGTTTCTTTTAAGTTCGTTTACAAGAGATGGTGACATAGATGATGAGAGATTCAGAGATTTTATTTTAAGCAGAGATCAATAGATGATAAATCTAAGCTTTACAAGAGATAGATGATGAGAGATGACGAGATTGTATCTAAAATTTTGTATTGTTATGATGTAACTATTGATAAATTTAAGGTTTTATTGTATGTTGAAATGTATGAAACTCTAGTTCTGCAGTTATATGTGTTTACTGTTACTGTAAAATCGGATTATCCTAATTTTCAGGCATGTTTGTTATCCACTTTGTTATGGAATTTGTATTTGAGTTCATTTTTTTTCATGGGACAACTTAATGTATTATGACCATGTCTAACAGTGTACTCTATATCAGTAATGCTAAGGGGCCAACAGTTGGCTCCATTATGGAGCCAACAACCAATTGGACAACTCCATGTGCGACTGTCCCACATTAAAGTATTGTGGGACAACCCCACATGGAGTTGTCAGAAATAAAAAAATTATGTTTTTATATCTTTGTTCAAGTTTGCAGCCCAAATCATCACTTGAATTTGTGGTACAATTTTGAGGGGTGATCTAAATAAAAAATAAAAAATAAAAATAAAGATAGGAAAACGCGTGAGCAGCAATCGGGATCTGAATATCATAAGCTATCACGGTCTGAGAGTCACTGGCACAAGGGTCCCAAGAAAAACAATATATATTAACATTTGTTAGATCTTATACTAAAAGAAGGTTTCACGAAGGATGATTTTCTTAACTGTGCCAAGCTTTCCCGAATTATAATATCAAATATCAAAAGTCTAAAATGAATATGCCTCGATGAGGCTGATGCTGTGGGTCTGGGAAAGACACGGTGCAAACACAATGCTCCCGATGGGCAAAATGACATAAAGCCTGACCAAACTGTTCCATGGCTTGTGCGTAAAGATGCTGAGTGGCGCAAGACCTGTGGCATAAAATCTACCGAGCTGTTTTAGAGCCCGACTTGTGCAGAAAGACGCTGACTGGCACAAGACCTGAATGCATAAATGCTAAGGGGCATAAAGTCTGACCGAGCTGTTTTAGAGCCCCGCTTGCGCACAAAGATGCTGAGTGGCACAAGGCCTGAGTTGCATAAAGCCTGACAGAGTTGTTTTAGTGCCCGGCTTGCGCACAAAGGCGCTGAGTAGCATAAGTCCTGAGTTGCGTAAAGCCTGAGTGGCGTAAAGCCTGACCGAACTGTTTTAGATCCCAACTTGCGCACAAAGACGTTGAGTGGCACAAGGCATGAGTGGAATAAAGCCTGACCGAGCTGTTTTAGAGCACGGCTTACGCACAAAACACTGAGTGGCACAAAACATGAGTGCCACAAAGCCTGACCGAGATTCCGACTTTTGCACAGAGACGCTGAGTGGCACAAAGCTTGAGTGGCATAAAGCATGAACGAGCTATTTTAGAGCTCAACTTGCACACAAAGGCGCTGAGTGGCACAAGGCTTGAGTGGCATAAAGCCTGACTGGGCTATTTTAGAGCCCAGCTTGCGCACAAAGATGTTGAGTGGCACAAGGCCTGAGTGGAGTGAATCCCAAGTGCTCACGATGCGGTTCACTTCCTTTTTCAATCCTTATAGATAGAAAACGCTGCGACGGGCTGGTTACAAGGCCTGGGTAGCTTGAGTTCATTGAACTCTTTGACCAAATGCTCTTCCCACAAGAACCAAACAAACCACATGAAGCAACGAAAACCAAGACAAACACAAAAACAAAGAGAAAAAAAGACACAAATAAAAAACACAAACACGAAAATCACAAAATAAAGAGAAATACAAAAAAATTAAATTAACACCAAAACTAAATATTTTATTTGCCTTACCCGGCAACAACACCAAATTTGTTGTAAAAATTATTATATTTTTACTGAGTATATGACGGCTCCCGACCTCAGGTCGACCTCATGTCGATCTCTCAAGGAAAGACGGTTCAGAATCTATATTCAATATTGATCGCACACAAAAGTAAAATAAATTCTAAACACTCTAATCACGATTGAGGTTTGAACTATCAACTAAGAAATAACAGAAAATTCAAAAAAAAAAATAAAAAAAAAATAATAATAATAAAATAAAATAAAAATAGAGATCAACTAAAAAACATGAACCAAACATCGATAAAGAAACTAGGGAGTTGGGATAGTTTATTCTGTAAATGCAAAACTGAGC